GTTCAGTACTGAGCGCAGGCTGCGCGGAGTGGCGGAAATCCCCTCCTACGCCGTTGGCGGTTTGCGATTCTTCATCCTTAGTTTCTTCTATAGGTAACGTGGCGAAAACATTGGTATATTGATCATACGGGGTACCTACATACGTAGTATAAGTCCGACTAGAAGTACATGAGCATGCACCAATAGAAACTAAGTCCTTTGCCGATGCCGTCGAATCGCTTATTTCGACGCCGGCTGGTCTTTTGACGACTTCTCCTCGTCCTTGACCTCCTCAACCTTCGTGTCCTTTCCCAACTCTTCCTTCTCGGCCTCGGCGAGTAGTTGTCGTAGGCGCTGGATGTTGGGCTTTTTACGAGGTGGGAGTTTGATGGGAAGCCACTTGGACTTGTCCGTCGGGCATTTATGGTCCCGGCTCCACCCGGTATTTCCGCATTTGAAGCACCGCTTGTTGCTTCGCAACTTGTCTATCTCCATCGGCTGCCCAGCACCCCCATAGGTCGTTCCCGTGGCGTCCTTCTTATCGCCACTGGATCCTTGTCCGCCTCCCTTCTGTGCTGATTGATTGCCTCGACCCGAACCGCTTTGGTTCGAGGAGGACTTACTGCCCAACCCCTGGGCCACTCCGTATCGGTAGTTGGCGTCTATCCTCAAGACGCGCGCCTTCCATTCTGCGTAGGTTGTGGGGCGCTCGTTGTCCCCATGCATAACCGTATTATGCACCGTCGGCCTTATCGCCGCTTCGACTGCTTCGAACATCTGCTTCTCGTCCCCGAACTCCTCGCACTTGTGCGCCAGCCGTTCGAACTTTGCGAAGAACTCTACTGCGGATTTGAAGTCCGATTGACGGATCTTCTTCCACTCGGCCTTCCATATCGTTAATTCTGCTACCTCGCGGAATTCGCGCGTGAGGTCGTCGGAGAACTCTGCCCAGGTGGGGAATCTCCAATGACCCTGCGGGTCTCGATACCGATAGTACTGATCGACCCACCACTGCTGGGCGTCCCCTCGTAGATACCCCTGTGCGAACGTGATACGATAGGGGTTATGCCCCTGGTCGTTCATCGTGTAGTACATGGGGAATACAGCAAAGTATACCTCACAGTGATGCAGGAACCGCGTGATGTCCGAAGAAACCCCGGTGAAGTACTCGGGCTGGGTCACCAGCTTGGGTTTGACGTCATTCCAGGGATTGTTCACCGCTCCGGGTGCCAGTTGCCATGGAGGAATTGGGTCCGGTGGCGACGGGACGTGGGGAGGTGCTGGCGGCTTGGGTGGTCGCGAAAGTGACCGCAGATTTCGGTTTTCTCCTGGAGGCGGGTATCCCACGGGATCCGGATATCGCGGTGGTTTTGACGGGGGCATTGGCGGGACCATGGATTCTTTTCCTTTATCCGTTCGTGAGGGCCCTGCACCCGCATCCGCATAGTCATCATCATCGTCTCCCCCTGCTCCCGCAAAGGGGCCAGGGCCAAAGAAATCCTCCTGCTCTAGGGGATTCGGCATGGGTTGAGGCCTTCGGTACAGTTCACACCCTGGACGCCTGTCTCCCGGGTGGACTTCGTTCCATACGTGAGCCGCCCGATGCCAGGTTTCCACGTCCAAGATATTTTTCATGAGGTAGACATCGCCCATTCGTTTGGCGTGTCGATAATCCTCCCCTGCTTCCATAAACAACCATTGCGGGTCCTTTTCCATATCCTCCATCATGATTTCGTAGAGGCCATGCCACGGGAGGAGGTCGAAGATGGCAGGCCTCGGGACTGGTCCATTAAGAAGAACCGCCTTTATCGCCGCCATCACTGTCGGTTCGAGGGCCTGATTCGGGGGGCGGCTTGGCATCCTCTGCCGCCTGCCTCTCTCGGGCGAGGCGGTCGATCTCTCGGTTCCTCCTCCATCGCCCGATGTCGGAGTTGGGGTCACTGATTTCGGCCTGGTAGGAATTCCAGGCTCTTCTTCGGGCCTCCAAATCGGTGCCTGCTCGACGGGTGGCTCCGGTATATCGGACGGCGGCGGCACGTATCCTATTGTCGACCTCGGCGTTGGTGGCGTCGGGTTCGAGGGGTAGGTCCCACCATCCTCCGGGTCCTTGGAGGGCATCCTCTTCTGCTCTGCGGATGCGTGCATCATGCGCTCTTCCTCGCTCCATTCTGGCCTCGATTTCTGGGGATTGCCTGGCAGCTCGAGGGACTCGGAGGGACTTGACGTACGTGTGATAAAGGAGCGGCCACGGATGCTGAGAGAGAGGGACGGGGTCAGCGAAGGCTCTCGACGGGACCGACGGCTCCCAGTTGGAGACTCCGGCGAGTCGCTCGGAAACGGTAATTGTTCCAAGTTCCTCGGAGTCATAGTCGGGGTATTCGTTCCAAAGCTCCCCATTCGTCGGCTCGTGCGCAGAGACGGAGGGAGTGAGCGGAGGGGTCTCGGTCCTTTCAGAGACCTGGTCGGACTCTGACTCGGTCGAGTCTCCGGCCACAACAGTTTCTTCCCCTGGGTCTGCGTAGACCCAACTGGAGTGGGGGTACCAGGCGACTGGTGGTCCCCTATGGACTGGCCAGGACTCTGGAACAAAGTGTGGGTCAATTGGACGGGTGGTAGCCGCGGAGGCTCCGAGGCTAAGCTCTCCGGGATCTTCTTCGAGGTCATCTCGGGCTTTCCCTTTTCCATATCTTCTCTTCTCACTTCCCCACTCTGCGTCAGTCCACCTATTCTGGGAGCGCCCGCTCCAGTTGTCTCCGGTATAGGTGGCATCTTCCTCCTCATTCGGGTAGAGGTCACCGAGGAGGTTTTCGAGTCGGATTCTCTCGAGGTCGGTGAGCTCGTCGCCTTCGAACTCGGTATCAGGGCTTTCTTCGCCCGTGACCAGATGCCTGGTGCCTTGTCTTCAGGCTCCGTCGGTGCTTGACTCGCCTTCGACTGGAGAGACGTCGAAGAGGCCTGGTAAGGGCGAGTCTCCTCGGTGGAGGAGTACCCCCCGGGTATCGGTGATGTCGACGGAGTCGTCTGACTCGGTAGCGCTTCTGTAGGAGTCGGTGCTCGATTCTGAGGATCCCGAGTTGGATCGCGACGATGTGTAAAGGGACCCTCCAGGTCCTCTGGGTGTGATGGGTCGGCCATCGTGAAGAGTTTGTTGCGAGGCCACGGGGATGAAGATTATTGGCGGCGGATAGGCCGGCGTTGTCGGTATGTAATGGAACGGGAGTTGTGCTCGTACTCGTCTTTGTTGGCGGCAGCACCGTTGGACGTAATACAAGGAGGTGAACAAGAAAAAGGTTATAAAAACGGTGGAGATTATAGGAATGGCGTCGGATAAGGGCATCAGTCTGTGGGCTTATCTTTTGAGAGGGCCGGCGGTAAGGATGGACCATGCGACGGTTAGAGCGAGAATAGTGAGAGCGGCGAGGGTGGCGATGATCAGGTTGAGGTCGGTTTCGTAGTTGGAACCGGTCATCAACGGTGAGTCGTCGTTGTCAAAGGAAGGGTCAGTCAGGGTTAGCAGTACGACCGCTAACAGTGAAGCTAACTTCAGGGATAGATTGAGGAGGTTCGTGGTGCCTCAGACAAGAGGTACGTATGCGCCGTACAAGGCGACTAGCAGTCCTGCTAGAAGTGGTGCGGCGATACAAACTCGGACGAGGGCAAGGGTAAGGAGAACAGTTACTAGAACTGCAAAGATAGGGTCGTTGATAATGTAGGGAATTATCCAGGCGATGACGGCAGCCTGAAGCAGTAAGTCGAAGGGTGTAATCCAAAGGACTACTGCGACAAGGAAGTGTATCGGCTGAATTTTGGAAAAGGTGCTTTTCCGTTGGTCCACCCACGGTACACTAACAACCACGAGGTTGTCCTTTCGAACGCACGGTGGTGACCTCTCTGGCCAAGCGGGAGGGAATTGTCTGTAGAATAACTTGGGCAACGCTCTTTCTCGGAAGTGACGTTGAGCAAGTTTGGTCGAGCTTCGGCTAAATGTTAGCCACTAACTCTAATCGACTTAGATCAACCAAGGATCGCCACTCGCACTTCGGTGGACGATACACTGGGAGGTCAAAGGCGAAGAACGGAGTCAGGAGCGAACTTAGATAGTCGCGAAGAACGGAGTCCGATGTTAGGTAGATTAAACCTTAGCCGAAGCTGGGGTTTAAACCAGCTGAGGCTCTACTTAAATACATGTCACGTAGACTAAAAATAGTACTGTGAGAATGTCCAATCAGAATCGCAACATAGAGTAAGCGTGAATACGTAAGAAAAGAAAAAGAAAAGAATAAACCGTAACAAGTCAACATCTAATTAATTGAGACCAGCAGTGAGGCCAGCATCGGGTTGGGCATGCTTGGGCTCTTGTGGCGCTCCCCCACACTCCTGTGCTTGCTATGCAGACCAAAAATAGTCTGCATGAATCATTTGATGGAATAGATTATACCGTTAATGTTTGTCCATGATCCATACCTGATTTCAGTCTGATAATTTTAGATGTTACCCCTAGATCAGGTATTTTTAGTCTGTTTTTCTCCTGAAGCTGTTCCTTACCTGGTAAATATAGAATCCATCACTACTATCGAACATTAGCACTATTTATGGGCTCCCTCACCTGTCATGTCATCCCCTACTGCAAATCTCATGCTACCCTTCAGTGTGAGCACTATTTTTAAATCCTTTGCATGTCATGCCCTCCCCTCCCTAGCCTTGATATGTTTTTGGAGGTTTTCCCTGATCCCCATTCGCATTCCCTGGTTCATATTCTCATTCTCATGTCTTCATTGTGAAAACATTTCTTAAAAAAGTCCTGCCCAATTTTGCTTCTGCCTTGGCAGTCGCCTCGAATCAGCGTTCACTCTCACTCACCCCAATCCAAAGACTTTGAACTTGGCAACACTGCTCTTCAGTCATCATGAGTAGCCACTGTTACACCAAACTTCTAACTGCTTAATAAGTCCGAGGGAATCACACTCAGATTTTCAAGACCAACTTCATCTATTACACAACACTACATTATGTTCAACTAGCTATGTCTTCCTGGCTCTACGTTTAGGAACCTTGGGTACAGCTATTGTCCCTCCCTCAAGCTCTGCACACTCAGCAAGCATAAGAATTTCCTTTGGTGCTGGGCCTGAATGAACCCTTTTGGCCTGTGTCACTGTAAGACCATCCTTGACCCAGGTGCCTTGGCACTTACAAGTTTTCGTGCCAGTTGGCTGGGGTTCTTCGAGTTCAGTCTGAATAGAAGCAGCAGTGGCAGGTTCTGATGTCCTCGTCTCTGATGGCTGTTTGTCTGAGGGAACTTTGTCTAGTGGTTCCGCAGAGCGAGCACAGTTCTCTTCTTCAATTTTCTCCTCCTCACTGGCTTGGTGAGAGTCGTCTCCATTGATGTGAGAATTGGGCATTGTAACTTGTGAAGGAGGCTGGGCCTTGACTTCAGTGGATGGTACAGGTGACGATGGTGACAGTGAAAGCAGTGAATCGGAAGCACTGAGTTCTTTGCCAGCTGGGACACTGACATCAATGTTATTACCAGTATCATGGCTCTCTTTGTCGATGTCGTCATCTGGTTCTGCATTCTCCATGATCTTCTCTTCGTCTAGCTTTTGCTGCCTGGTCTCCCCAACATCCATCTCAACATCTACAGCATCTTTGACTGACTGAGATGGGCCTGCCAAGTCACCATCTGTTTGAAGAGCTCAGGCCAAACAGACATCTGTGGCTGTCATGGCAGTGTCAATTAATGCCAGGCTCATTTATGTAATCATGTATGATACACCTGCTGAAGGAACCTTGTAAACAGCATTAGATATGTCTCCTTGAACTTAGGAAAGACCTGGCCAAAGGTTCTTCCATGCTCATCCTCTCCTGCATGAAAACTGAATTCTACATCAGCAATGCTTGCAAGAACTAGTTGTGTAAGCCACAGACATACCCATATGTTGAGATCTTGCCGTTTTCCCAAGGGTCAGGTCCTCCAAATATCATCATCATTGCGCACCCTGTCGCTTTAGAGAGTGCCATCATAAAAGTCTTTATTTGATCAGGAGCTGCAGCAATCGCACTATAATTCTTATTTAGACAAAATATGTGGGTGATAGGATGTCAAACATATGCAGCAAACATTTCTGGAGTGATGGGACCATCCTCCATGACTGACAATGGAACCTGCTCCTTTGTCCATTCCAACACCTGGTTCCGAATCACCTCGCTCTCCACCTCAAACACCTCTTTGGTCATATCTTTAATCAATTTAAGTACCTCACCTCGACTGCTAATACCAACTTTCCTCTGATCCACCAGCAGTTTGACACGATCGACATAGTAATTGCATGAATACACCTCTTCCACCTTTAACGCGTGAGTCCTGGGCTTCACAAAGATGCCAGCAATGCGAGCAGCATTCTTGACCTTTTTGGCAGACCTGTGGTTTTGAAACCATTCTCTCACATGCTAGCTTCAAGTCTGTCAAGCCGGTCACAGTAAACAAGGTAATTCGACTAACCTTGATATCACCATTCTTAGATCTGGCACCCTCCAGCGGAAACTCAAGCCAAAATCTGGGCATAAAGTCTTTTATGAAACTAGCAATTGCCGCATTCTTCCCTTTGGCTGACTGGGTGGTATGATATTCAGGCACTCCCCCCTCTAGAAATGTCCACTGCTCAGGTGTCGCCCAAGGTTTCGGCCCAGGTTTCTTCTGCTCGACAGGGACTGGTGGCGGCGATGCAGTGGGACCTGGTGGTGGCAGTGATGCAGGCAAGCCTAGTGTTGCCATCTAAAAAAGAACATCAGCAGAAGCTTTTAAAATAACCAATAACATAATTACTGTCTTTGAAATCACCATCCGTCTTTGAAATTACTGTAAGAACAGTGATGCTATACCTCCATGTAGGGGGAAAAGCCACAGCAACTGTACAGTTGACCAGTGGGTTCTCTGCTGCTGATGCACCAGCTGAGAAGCCAGGACTATGCTCGTTCATTTGAATCTTAATTTCGCTACAAATACTAGCAAATTACTGTGGAGGCTATTTAAAAGGCAGTAATCATCTTATGGGAGCTTTTCATCCCTTGATTGATACCATCACTCGACCCTGAAAATGCCCCAGCAATCGCAGCCTAACCTTACTCCTCAGGCCCTGGTGGCGCTTTTAGAGGTGCTTAATGTGCTTAATTTGAACAGTCAGTCTTTTTTTCACCTGCATTACCACCTTGACTGACTTTTCTTCAGCCAACAATGCCAGCACATCCACCCCTGCATCCACCTCTGCTCCTGGAGAGCCAGAGGGTGAACCGGCTCCTGCTCCTGTTGCTGAGTCAACTCAGGGAGCCGTCGCTGGTTCCACTGTCACCAGTCCCTCCCTTGCCCAAGCTCCAGGTAAGTCTCCCAATTATGCCTGTTAGTGCAGAGTGATACTAATTCTCATTCCTACTAGTAACCTCCGGTGCTTCCTCCAACATGCCTGGTGTGGTGTTGCATCCATTCACTAGAATCCCCCTCCTGCCATCTATGCAGCCAGGCAGATGGTTGTCATCCTCTCATGTCCCTCCTACCCAACAGCCACCAGTGCAAGTCCACTCTGGCTTCCATTGTTCACACTGTGGTGCATTCAATCCCACTGTTGGGCAGTCCAGTGAAGCATGGTATGTCGTTACTGCGGGCCATGAGGTTGATATATTCTTCAATTGGTATGTCAGTCTCTTTGCTGTTTGAATCTAACTGACAGACATCACAGGGAAGTCATTCAGCCCTTGGTGTCTGGTGTTGCACATGCATGCCATCGCAAGTATAAGACGCATGCAGAGGCCAAGGAGGCATTCCAGATGGCACTCAGCCAGGGCAAAGTCTGTGTTCTTTGAGGTCGCCACTTTTTTTCTTGGACTTATCTTAGCTCTCATCTCATGTTCCCATCTGCTTTCCTTTCGTGCTGTTATTGACTTGTTTGTTGTGATATTCTGATATAAAACTGTGCCAAAAAAAAAATATCTCTAGTATCATAGTTAGATTTAGCTAGCCACCCAAAATATATACTGTGATTATACCTTTAAAAAACTGCTGCAGTGCTGTGGAATACCAGTCACACCAAAAAAAATACCTCTGCAGCTTACAATATGAACTAAATGAAATGCTTCCACAGCACACATTCAGTCCAAGGTATTAGCAGCACAGCCAAAGTTATGGCCAAAGTATCTGGTGGCTTGGATTGAAACTGTACAGTTGCAGCTCAGAAGTTCAGAAACTACCGTATAAGAATCAAATAAGAATATAAACCATGGGAAAACTCCCATTGACTCCCAAGCACAATCATTTGCCATGGCACGTATTGTCAACGTTGATGAAAATGACTTGTAAGTTGTGAATTACCGCATGCCACATGGTCAATATACTAATGTCTTTTTAGAGCTGCTGCCCTTGCTATGGTCCAGTGGCATCACCCCTCTATGCAATTGTACAAAATGTGAGTACCTGCCAGTGACACAGCGTCATTCATGCCCCTGATGCTGAATACAGACCGCAGTACCCCCTGTTTGAGTGCTCACTCCTTAGTACTCTTGACACCAACTTCCGAATCAAGATGCACCACTTTACACATACGCACAAGCATGGATACTATGGTAGTTACCTGTACCCTCACGGAGACACTGATGGTGAAGCCGTAGAGAGGGCCTGGAGTTCTGTGGGAGCGATGACTATCTACCATACTCATAACCCCCATCATGTATTCTATCTGTCCTGCTTGTAGTATCTACACTCTTATTTGTAGTCATCCAATCAAAATCTCCAAAGACGGGCCAACCGCACCTACCAATGAACTTAGTGACCCAATCTCAGCAGCCGACTGAACAACGTGCCCAGCAAATCCTGGTCAGACCCTCTCTGACACCCAAAATCTACCCTCCCCAGGTCTTATTTATGAGAAAATCTTAGATTGGAATCCTAGGACCAGTGCAAAATGAGCCTGAAAACGTTGCATATGAGTTGGGCAATGGTACATGAAGATGATCCCGTCCAACTGCCCAAACAAATTTAAATCAGTATAAAGTCATTAGACGAATGGATGATGATTACCACTAGTGATCGCTATATGAGTGCTTGCTCTATCTTGTTGACCCTCATCTCACATCTTCGCAGGTCCTCCCTCTGCAACTAATTGTTCGTTAGGGATGCTAAAGGTCAGATGATGATATTTATGCAGCTAAATTCTGTTCCAGAGGTCCTCCAAACTCAATATATAATTAATATCAGTGGAAACCACTATGGTTGGACCCTGCAAACCAGCCATGGCATCTTCGCTCAGCATGTAATTTTCCCTTCACTGCTGACCATGACAGATCCTGACCTCGTCACTGCTACTACCGAGATTGCCAGCATCACAGTACCTGACACTGTGGATACACCAAACACCACCTCACCTGCCCTACCTTCCCATCAGCCACAGGGTTGTCCATGCAAGTACCACACAGCAGATGAAAAAGCTGGTGCTCATGCCTTGGTGCAGCAGGGATGCTATGAAAGATATGATTACCCCATCAACCACAGATGACTGAACTTGATGTGCTTTGCTTCCACAGAAATCACGAGGTAGTCTGCAGGAAAGCATGCAGATGCTATGCACCTTTGTCCTCAGATAACCATGAATGACCTCACTGCCATGTCACTCCCAAGGAGCCATGTCAACCTCATTGTCCCTCAGCTGCTTACCTGTGCATTACTCAGTCATGATTACTGTATTAATGCCTGACTCATTTATCCAGATCTGTTGTGAAAACAGCCATGCTGGATGATTGGAAAGCTAGCATTGAGAAAAACCAGGTGCGGCTGACTCAACATCTCAACAACCAACCTCCGGCCATGCTAGCCGCTGCTGTATGCTTGCATGCCTGTGAGGCTCATGTCACCGACCCGAGCGCAGTGATATTGGAAGCCCTTGAGCCATTCAATAGAATGCAAACTCGTATCAATGTTATCAGCACTAGCATATATCGGCGAATGGGATGTACCGACTTGTGGAAGGTTGCTGAGAAGTTGTGTAGCCAAGTTCAAGAAGTGGTCAACCTCTTGCAGGACCTCCTATGCTCAGCACTATCTGGCATCAGTGAGCTCAGGACGGCGTTCAATGAGGGTACACTAGCATACCAACAGATGTAGGATTTTGCCTTACTCCATGTCCTCCTTGGCTATAGTTACCTGATTTACTGTAATGTCAAAGCCCATATGATATATCCCAACATGCTTGCGCTTTTTTCTTCCTTTCTTACCATCATCTCATTTTCTTGCACACACACCTCACACGAATCCCTCCTGAAATTTCACTGAAGAATAGATCTCGCTAATGCTGCAGATCATTCAATGCAGCAAGCATTACCACATGTCCCTCTTTGGCTTCTCTGAGCCTTCTCATAGATTGGAGAACTCATCAGACCATATATGGCAACCACGAGCTTCCCAAATGTCTCCCAACTCCCCGCTTTGAAGCGTTGGTCCCTTATCCTCCCTCTCACTGCAATGGACGATGACAATGACAAGAATGTCTGGGGTCTGCCACCACGTCTGGTATGTCTGGTGTTATATCTTTCCAAACATACGACCAATCCTCACTTTTGCTCTGTGTAGAAACGGATCCCTCAAGCGCTATTCAGCTGCTCTATGCAAAAACCTTAAAAGAGCACTTTGACATCTATGTGCATGCCATTGAGCATGAGGAGACCGACGAATTCTGGGAGTGGTTTATGGACATATGGGTGTGATTGTACCCAGAAACTGTTATGAATCACTGGGTGAAGGAATACCAAGCCAGCATACAAGAGTGCTACCGAGTGCATGGTCATCCCACCTTGATGTTAGCATCCAACTGACTGTTGGTCTTAGTGGATCGAGACCAGGCTGGATCTTATGGGTGGCCAAATCGCCAAAAATGAGCTTGCGATGTATAAGTTCATGTGCAGTATCCTGGAGTCTGTCAGCGACGATTCAGCATCATCCAGTACTAGCGAGGATTCGGCAGATCAGTCCTTATCAGGCAACAATGATGATGACGATGCAAGTGCTCTCTCTTCTCAGGTTAGCCATTCGACTTCACTTCTGGCTTGGGAGGACGATGGCCATGATATCCTCTTGACTGATGGCAAACAAGAGAAGAAAGCGAAGAAAGTCGGGTTGAAGTTAAAGATGAGAGCCAAGACGAGGCTGTTGTACTGGTGAGCAGTGTTGCCATCAGGAAGTGATGTCAATCCTGCAGAGTGGGAGTGAATCGATGTTGATGCATGGGTTACTGCTACAGGGTATGATGAGCTGGATGCCCAAGTTCCTATTACCAGTATGACAGTGGCTGGGATTACTACCATTTATGAGGACTAGTAGTACTACTACATGTTTTCTAGGTCCTACAATTATATCTAAGTACTTTTGTGCTGCTCATTTTGGTTTGGTGGTGTTTGGTCTGTCAGGTCATTAGGCTTAGCTAAACCATCCTTTATGCTCCCAAACATGTGAAAAATCAAACGACCATGAATTTTGGCCAATGTTTCATTCTCAGAAGATCAGCTTGAGGAAACTGTGACTGCACCATGTCCTGTGCGGCTACGACATACAGATTATAATGTCAATGCAACCAGCCACTCAAGGCTTCAAACGATGACTACCTATCACAAAGTGCCTCCCAGTCCATCCAAAGCTTGTTCTGCATTGCATGATCCTGTTCTCGAGGAATTTTCAGGAGTAGATCTGTCATGGCTCAATGATCCTACACTCGAAGAGGAAAACAGTGACTCTGACTGAGAGAAAGAGGATCAAGCAATGGATCCCAGGGCATCGACTGAGGATGCAGAAGTCCACTGGGTATGGTCGTCTCTCTCATGCTGTGCCCTCCTAATCTATATCTCAGGATGATCCTCACTTCCAGGATTGGTTGCCACTCACATGAGAGTTTCTCGAAGAGATGTTTCAGGATGAACACCCTAGGCAGTTTGGGTTCTCATGTGCTCAGTGTCAAACTCCTGCAGTGGAAGTCACCCTCTACTGATGTGCCTCCTGCAATGAATGTTTCATGTACTGCGACGAGTGTATGGTCTGCCGACACTATGGCAATCCACTGCATAGAATTCAGGTATTCCTTTATCCACTTTTATGATGTGCATTCTCACAGTAATTAGGAATGGACTGGAACTTTCTTCAAGAGGACCACACTTGGAGCACTGGGTCTGATGATGGCCTTGGGTCATGACCCGGACACTTGCTGTCCCACTCCACTTTGTGGCCAATTGCATGTTCTGGATCTCAAAGGAATTCAAACCATACATGTCGACTACTGCGATTGTATGCAATCTCTCCCTTGTTGGTGACAACTCCTCTGGTCCCGAATGGTGACGACATTTCAAACACTGGAAGTATTCCACCTGCTGTCATTTATATCGAAAGTGTCTGGGTACGAGTTCTATCACACCCTTGTCCAGCTCACAGACAACACAGGAACATGTCAACCTCCAGTAAGTCATGCCTTTGGCTTTGCGTTGATGAGCCTCTAGGCTCTGTGCGCTCTGGAATCGCGGACACAACCTACAATTTATCACCTTTGTCCCTATAGCGGACTTTCCCTAATTCAATGATTGCAAGCAAGATGCAATTTAAACCAAGTCAATTGGTGTTCAGCATGCGAAGTTAGTGATTCGCATATGATGTCATTGGCATCGGCCCTATCGATCCTTCCCTTCTCCCCATGGACTTTGTGCCTCGCAGTCTAGAACTAGCACTGCCACCACATGTGAAACATCCCTGCGGTCATGAATTATCCACGTGCGGCCTTACAAAACGCGTCACGTAGTTAGAACTACGGCAAGTCAGCCGCAGCCATAGAGAGTTAATCATCAAAAGTATTGGAAAGCTGATTAGTGAAGACTCTTGGTAACATTAGTATAGCCTTAGGCGCAGTAACTGTGCATACTTACCAACCTTTGCTAAGTAAGTACTTGAATAATCTATGCTATAATAATAGTAGTGCTAGAGTAAGGTAGCTTATTTAGCCAGTGTAGCGAGTATTTAAGTTCGCGAGTTTAGAAATGTATAGGGGAATCAAGGGAGACCCCAGATTATTCTCTACGCTTACCTTCGATCCCTAACACCTACACCATACAACATACACCCTTGAAGTAGTGCAATAAAGACATTTTTGCTGCTAGAACTTCGTCTCGAACCTTATTTCTCTAAGCAACGGTGAACCTTTAACGGTTACTTGTGCTTACAACCCATCCCTCTCTTCTACGCAAAGTAATTAGGAGTCCTGCCACTAGGAAACTCTTTTATTGCTTTGCTTCGCAAACAAATTCACTTGCTTCCGCAGCTAGGAGACAGCATTTTCATCCCTCCCATCAACACCTTCTCTTTCTTGCAGCCAGAGAAAGTCTCGTCGAGTATCAGACCGATCCTCATCACTTTGATTCAACCTTACCACATGAGTTTAATAATTCGCTACAGCCTCTGAGTTCGCAGCTAGAACTTGGACAGTCTCTTTAGAGCTCTTATTCGTTGTGCTCGCAGCTAGAGTTGCAACAGGAACAAGGTATAGTCCCTGTACATTTACTGATTCATTTTAGGGCCTCTTCTAGGATCCCTTTCCCAATTACTTCCCTTCCTGCGAATTTTATAGTTCGCTACCGTCCTCTACGCTACTAGTAGAGAAATTTCTTTATCTTTCCAAACTTAGGAGGCTTTAGTCACCGCACAGAGGTGCCCCGACTAGACTTGCTAGAACCATCCTTCAGATTCCGTGTCTGTTAGCACATACCACACCTAGGTTTTGTGTTTCCGCCCACGGGAGTCTATAGGTTCATCAGCGTTTCAGTTTCCTGACTGGTGTTTGCAGAGTCGGTTCCAGGCATTCATGAGGATGGTTCGTGAATAGTGCTATCTGAAGCTCCTCAAGTGTATGCTAGACAAATCTCCACATGATTTGAAAGGCTTGACACCTGGGAAGCTGCCGATTCCAGTGGGATCATTGGCAGTGAAATGCCTGGCTTGTCCTTGGTCTGGGATTAACCTGGAGGAGGGTTGGGAAAATGATACCATGAATCTGTAAGTGAATACTGAATGTATTGACGTGGATGTGCTCCTGATCACCCTTTTAGATGGAAATACAGTCTCTTCCTCACTATCAATGCCAACTTTTGACTTGTCCAATTTGTAGTCTCAAACACAGCACGAGATCTGAGCCTTGTCAATGGAGCTGGTTTTGTTGTTGTGCAGGAAAGCTTTAGGAAGCATGTTGCAGAATACAGCAAGTGCATACCATATGACCCTAGTGATTGTAGAGACCACCAGGCCATCAAACTGGTGACTTCCAAACATGGTGCTGGCTTGGCAATGAGCAGGGTTGCAATGGTGGATTGTGCTCGGCATGATGCGAAGGGACCTGGAGCAGTGACAATACTTGACCATGGTGAAGAGTGAGTCCAGTTTATCTATGTTGCCGACTGAGACTGAATGAGACCAAAAGACAAGTCCAGATGGATTATATATTTTGCCCCCGAATGCAACAGTCAACACTGCAGTGCATTGTGGTTTCATACGATATCAATTGCCAGTGGTCTAAAAAACTGTGGGAACAAATTGCAATCTATCCATCTTTGATGACACCACATCAAGACCCTGGCGATTTCATCTATCTAATTCTGAAGTTTCATCTCCCAGCCTATATACCCAGCTGCCACGTGAAGTATTCCTTCAACAAGACACCCTATGTAGGGCTGACTGATGGAGAGGCCCCTGAATGTGGCTGGAGTAGACTGAACCAGCTTGCCACCAGTTTGAAGGTTATGGGACTGGGAGAATATCTTGACACCCTGGACAACCATATCAGCAACTACAATTATAGGAAGTCAGTGTTGATGGGTAGGTCTTGACGTCTCTGTTCAGATCACCACTTCTTATATTCATTTGGCAGGCTCCACTCTGTTGAAAGGGATCCTGAAGGCCATCCCAGCCAGAATCTTGCATAGCGCTGTCTATGCCGAGTTCACTGCATCTCTACCTGAGCAAGATGTTCAACGTTGGAGTGAGGCTATTGAGGCATGGGAGTGGGATCCAGTCAATGCTGTCAATCCGTTTGAAACCACTGTCACTCGTACATATCTCTAGGTTTATTTTTGGGTTGAAGATTCTTATCACCATGTGTAGAACTGACAACTTCCAAAGTCTGTCTTACCCTTGCCTAAGAGGAAGCCACAAAAATAGCAAAGATTGCTGCCCACTGTTGCGACTGCAGCCTATTTACATGTGTAATTTTGCAATCTAAAGTGTTTTACATGCATACTGAGATATAGTGAGTGAGTGGACTAAAACTACATGTTGACACTAATGCTATGCAGCGCAATGATATGGAATATAACTTATGGCATAAGAAGCAATGGGATTCTAAACAGGACTTAGTCACAGCACTGTACCTGATGGGCATGCATGATGAGAAGGCCAAACCATATACCCAATGCCTTAGGCTCTAACTTACAAGCACGCTCGCAGGAGCTAGATAAAACCTTGAAGATTGCACTGACACTGAGAGTACTTAGCGCGCTCACTAAGTGTGATATGTCATACCTGAAAATCTGGGGAAATCCTTAAGTGAGATGACAGATATCACCGGCACGAGCTTGGGCAATGGGCTTTGGCCAAAGTCTGCGAGCCCACGTTCCATTGTTCTGAGTCCCATTGTTCGAAGACTCACTTGTTGCCATGTCTATGAGAAGCTTCTGTGAATCCAAGAAAAGAAGTCTTGAACGACATATGCCAGGACTGATAGTTCCATGCACCTAGACCTGTCAGTCGCTAGAGAACAAGCCCGTGGGTGTCAGGAGAGCACCTCTTGGCACGTGTTTAGCGAGCTCACTATAGAGATGAGACTAAAACTGGGAAGTCTGACTCGGATGCTCAGTAAGGCTGCGGTGGCAACATGCTATGCATGTAGGAGTCTGGGTACTGCACGACGTTTGTAATTCTAATTCCCCTGTAGTATAAGTAGGCTGGTTACAGTAGGTAGAGGCCAAGTTTCAAGCCCCCAAGTTCCTGTGCACATGTTGAAGGCAGTACTGTAACAAAGGATCAGTTTGTGACTTTGAGCTTTGCATAGAATTAGCGAGCTCACTCAGAGAAATACGAGATACCCTTTTGATAAGACTTTTGAGAACTTAGTCAGAGTGAATACAAATCAGTGATGCTGTTTCTGTTCTGTTAAGTGTGATAAGTCTGTTCAGAGAATGTGTTGAAGTGGAAATCTGTGTTCTGTTCTGTTTCAGTCTGTTCCATGTCAGTTCTGTTCAAAGTTCCGTTTCTGAATCTGTTTCTGAGCGCTTCTGAAGTGTTCTTGAGTCGAGATAACCTGCTGGAGTTAGTTGGAGAACCCCTACATACAGTTGTGTAGCGAGCGGGCTAAGTCAGTGCTTGCCTGTGGTGTTCTTTTAGCGAGCTCACTAAAGTTTCAGCGTGTATTGCCTCTGTTTCTGTCGGGATCAGTGTTCCTTGTGTATTATAACTCAAATCTGCCTTGAAGGTTGCGTTGCACCAGCACCAGTGAACAACCTTCCTGTAAAAAGTTCCTAGACTTAGGAATTCATTAGAGAAAGCTTAGCTTCGCTAAGAGCACTGAGAATAAGAGAAACTCTTCAGGATATTGAAGTATAGTCAGATCATATTAGAAATAATTGCTCCTCCTAGAACTTATGAGGGTGTTTGTAGTTTGTGTAGTTGTGTGAGTGTGTGTGTGGGTTTTTGAGGTTCGCCTTTTAGCCCGCTCACTATTCCACAGGTGCCCACAGCCAGCCTCTTCACCACGAGATCCAGGAGCACAACAAGGGAGCCCAGGAAGTGAATGAGGACATGGCTGAGAGCACAGATTTCACTAAGGAAAATAGTGAGGATATCTTTGTGGTGCACCATGAAGTCAGGCCAAGCACAATGATCCTGCAAGGTGTTGAGTTGGAATCCGATCAGTGAGTGTGCACGTAAATCTCACTTGATAATCAGCTGATGATGAGCTTCCCTGTAGACGACGTCTCAAATTAGCTTATGCAGCTCTGGGGGCTCATTCGATGGATCATGACCAGGCCAAAGTCACAGAAGGTCTGAACAGACTATGACACCATATGGATATGTGGTTTGAGGTCCAGCAGGTATATATGCCTGGCATTGCAGTGTGGTGAGCTGAGTGGAACAAAGCACAACTGCTTGTTAGGTCTCAGGCTGAGGCCCTGAGTGCAGAAGCAGAAATGGTGAGACAAGGGAGACAGAAGAAGGCTTGATGAAGTAAACAGCGACTGAAGGTGTCTTTGGAGGAAGCTCTTGATGCTGTTGCAATGCTGCTCTTTCTCCTGAGTGCTTGCTTGGGACGCCTTCGCCAGAGACAAAAGCTCATGGATTTTGAATTCCGACTGCAAGAGGTGGAGGCCTATGAATGCTTGATGACTATGTGCCGACTACTGATCTATCATTCCCATCTCTACAAATTCAAGGACAAACATGTCACTGGACAAATGATGAGCACACGAGCCAGATCCACCATCTCCAATGTCATCCATAACATTGATGAAGCTGCAACCAGATATCAGAAACTTTGTGGCGATCTCGTGGTTCTAGCAGGTGCAATTGATGGTGGAAAGCCGGGATGGGACTGCCAGCTGCGGGAGCTGAGTGCTACAGATGTCTGTCCTCTGGAAGAGATTTTACCAGGGGAAACAGAGGGATGGCATGCAATGAGCTGGATCTGGCAGGTGTATCAACATGACACTGATGCCAAAGAGACCATGGAGGGTAAGTGACTTTCATTGTTGTTTTGATTGATCTGATTACAATGATGTGTAGCCTTGAGAATTGAATGGTGCAAGACAAGGGCACACGCTCATTGCTGGCATGAGGAGGTGATTCAATTGGAGGAGGAGATGAAACAGGTGAAGGCTTTTTTTGTGTCGGAAGGAAGGACCTGGTTGGTACATGCTGCATGAGAGGACATCTCTGAGGGTGAGTGTGCATATTCCCTACATCAGGCTGATATACGTGCTCGCATGTGACAGCATTGCATCGACCTCTGGGTGAACATGCCCACATGGTTAGCCACTGGCATAGTCCTGCTTGTGAGGCAAGGTTGTCCCTGCAAGCCCAAAAAATCAAACCATGTAGTCATGTAAATATATTCATATTTTGTTTCAATATGACAAGTCAAAAAACATGGGTCTGAAAAAAAAATCTTTTTTGGAAAACATATGTGCCAGACATTGGAAGCCACACAAGAATAACACTGATGGATGGGACAGACTTAGAAGGGCGAAGGGAATAAATCAAAGTGATGAAACAGTGACAGGTTCAACATCATCATCAGGTTTCACATCAAAAGAACTTAACAAACCTGATCTGCAGCATGTTGGACCCAAGTGGGAACCAAGGCATGACCTTACCAAGCAGGTTGCACCTTGTTTGTCATTGTTGACAATGACCACACCTCTTGGCCATGAGGTCACAATGCAGAGGCTGGTTGGCCATCCATTTTCCTCTGCCAAATTTCCTTTGCAGCAGGAATCAATAATGTATCATGCTAAAGTACAATTGCGAGGGTTTATTCTATTACACCTGCACTGACACGGCAATCTGTAATAGATTACTAGGCAATTAACAGATGCTAAAACAGAACAACCCTGGCAATTCATTGGGTAAACGGGCCAAGAACGCCTCTCATTGGCTTAGTCAGCACCTTATATCACATGCTTGCAGCCTGTCTGCTCAAAATGTCCATTTACTTCTTCACCACTACTATGGCATAATGTTATTGCAAAAGATTTCACTACTCCCAGAAGTCTTAGGCACAGGAACAGTGGATATTTATGGAGATACAGAAGTCAGACTCATAGGGCTGCACACCATCCGTATCCGTACTGTATACCATATGAGCAAGGTTGCTGATGGCATCGGTCTATATAATTATGGCTGTCACAGTCATATATATGGCCGTATTTGTTGTCAAGATTTCATCTCACCGATATGCATCAGTATAGTGTGCAATGGATGTTAGACTCATGTACTAAATAGTTTGAGATGCTACATAGGAATCCTCACCAGGAAAATGCCATTTTCAGTCAGTTTAAGAGGCATGCTATGATGTCATACTTCCTTCAAGGCAAATGTTTGAGTCGTCGAGGGCTGCAATAGATGGTAAGATGAATGAAAATGATTTTTAGATGCTCGAATTCATGTCAGACAGCAAAAACAGGGTTCAAAAATGCCTCCCCTCATCTGGTTGCACTGCCATATACAAGCCGCACATATACAGCCATCAACGGCCATACTGTATGGTATTATCTGGAGGGCTCACGGCTTTAGTACATATACTGTACATGGAAGCCATATCACTATACAATATGGTGACAGTGTGCAGCCCTAAGTCAGCGCACCCTTCATATTTATTATTCCTTGATTATTCTGGTAAAGCCAACTGTCTTTTCCTTGCATCACGAAAACTCATCAGTATGGGTAGAAACAGTTACAAGGTGTAAATATTTAACAGAAATGCCCAATATATTCACTGTCAGTGTTGATAAGTGTTGTATCTAGCTATCATTCTGACAATGATATCTACGCTGACATCTACAACATCAACTGACACTATCAAACTATAATATCAGATACAAAGCGTAAAATGACTGAGGCTTCCCTACCAGGTCCTTGGAAGGGCATTATGCGAATCTGAGGGGAATTCTATGAGCATGCAGCACCTCGAGAAAGCCACCGGTTCTTGCATGACCTGTCTGACATGCTCTCCCTCTTACACTTGGTTCCAGTTCCACTTTCCATGACACTCTAATTTTTTCATTTCTAGAATTCTTGGGGGTAACTTTTGGTGAATTTATGAGCTACAGTTCACTAACCAGTAGGCCATGCATTGCTTGCATTGTTTTCTGGCTCAAATATGCTCAGCTCCCCTTGGCCTATGAATGGCTAAGTACTTATTTCACCTTCCCTTTTCTTTTGCTTGGGCTATGCTTGGTAACCTGCATTCAGGGTGATATGGTATCTGGCTATTTCCATCAACGATGTATTTCATGGATGACACATGCCTCTGTGAGCACAAGACTTGGCTATATCTATGTTTCGTCTACTCCCAAATGTACGGCCCAACTTAGTGACCTTCCGGTCTTTTTTATGGTCTGAACACTCGGTGACCAAGGCCTTCCATGCAAATAGCCAGAGTTCCTAGTTTGATTGACTAGTAATGTTGTGGGAATTTACTCACCATGATGACTATAGCACACTGTTGTGGGTATTTTCAAATATGAACTTGGAATTGTTTTCTCAAAATCACAAAGTGCCAACCAGCTTGTGCCTATCATGCACAGCCTCTGTTGGGGAGCATCAATCCCAGGAAATGTATGAGTTGGTACGACAGCTCTATTATAGGGTCATTGCTCCATCTAGAGTTGCATGGAATGATACATGTCTCCGGAAGACTGGCCATGACTTCGGCGCATCCGAAGAAGTGATTGGAGTGCTGTGGTACTGTAATATCATTCTCATTCCTTTAGCCTATGTTGGAAAATGGGGTATTGGTTCATTCCCAGTATCACATGCATGGTAGCAAGCCAATAGTATTGTGCTTGGCTGAGCTCTGCAAATGCATGAGGATCTATGCTACAGTACCTACTTTTATACTAAATGTACTTTTACTAGAACTTTCCATGCTTTTCCTAAGACTTCTACCTTAATAAGCAACTTTGGCATGATGCCGGATTGCCAAATCCCAACAGCCTACCTTAGAAAGGCAAATCCTTTCACCACCTGTGGCACGTTCTGCGTCCACATCAGCACAGTCTTTTTGGGACCTTGAGCAGTTATCTATCTTACTATGAGATCTATCAAGGTGCAGTGTGGCTGTGGCACACAAGATGCTGGCAGTTTAAACTACAGTACTTAGAAACACATTCCACTTACTTCTGCAGCTTTGTTGCTTCAAGACGATCGACTCAGAATTTTGTCTGAGCCTATGTTCTGTAAGCCCTTCAGAGACGCGTTGACAAATGCTGAGCCCTAAATTGATGTTGTGAAAGGTGGGAAGTTTCATCAAATGACTCAGGTAAAAATAACCAAGTTGGATTCGCACTGGTCTGGAGACATCCCGGTGATAAAGCAGTTAAAATTGTCTGGGCATCAGCACATAAAATCTGTCCGGATTATGACAGCAAACTGTAATACATGTATGTAGTATGGACTCAAGCTTGTTACCTCCTGTTACTTCTTAAGACAGCAGCACGGCAATCAGAATAAAAGCTCCCTTCCCGGCATACCTTTCCCATGATCAACCACTACTTATCCTTGTTTGCTACAATGTTTCACAATTATCAAACCCTGGTTCCACCTTCCTTCAGTTTTCTCCTTTTCGCTACCTGATGTGATCGCAGTGAAATTTGTCGGAATACTGAGGTTTTGCAGTGGGTAGACTAGTGGCTGGTAAAGCCAGACTAATGAACTTAGATTCTCTGGCTCCTACAGAGCCAATATTTATACTACGAAAGTATCTAGAAAGTTCTACGAAATGCATCCATAAACAGAAACTATCTGACTAAAGCTCACCTGGCATCATGCCGGCTTGAACCTTCTACCATCTTCTCATGGCTTCTTGCCAATATCTCCAACACAATTAGCTCCAGCGAGTGGACTGATCTATGTAGACAGTAAACGAGGTGAAGTCTGTGAAAGCATGAGTTCCCATATCAAGTTTTAAATTCTCACGAATTTGAGCAATCCACTGAAAACCTTGGAAATGAATCTGGATCGCTTAAATAATGGTTTGAGACCGTGCAAAGAAGGAAGGAAGTTTTATCAGCCGATGGTGCTCCTTAAACAAACATAACAGTGTCTGTACTAAGTACACTTAGTTACTCAGGGAATATATGAAGCTACAAATGTCTGATATCAGTGGGTTTTCGATACACAATAACCAGAATAAATATTGTATTGTCTTACCCAGCTCAGGGATTTCCAGGTCATCTGTACAGTTCGAGACGCAACACCATTGCCAGTTCGATAGGTACCGCTGGTAAGTCGAGGCCTTCTCGAGGCGAGTTCCATCAGTCGATGAAGACCCTGAAACACCGTCGGTAATGTTCAGGGTTTATATGGACATCACCGTTCGCATGTCGGGAAAATGTTCTTGCTCCAGTAGCCTGAGTATGTAGATTAGCAAGTCCACCGACCAGGAAATGGTGCCAACTCGTTGCAATGTCTGTACCGTTTACTTGATAGCGGCTCTGAGAGGCAATCTACTGCTGTCGAGCTTTTGAATTTTGAGCACAGAATTCCTGGGGCCTCAGCATGGCAAGAATAGGTATTGACACTTGTTCTCGTCACCGCATTCCAGGTGCCTAGAAATTAACCACCCACCTATCCAAGCCCGTAACTGAGATCAGAAAGAAACCTGGTCATCGGTCTGATTGTTTTGTTAGGATTTCGTAAATCGCTATTATCAAAAACGAAACCCACCCTTAAACCTTCTCTCGTTATGCCTGGGACAAGATAATTCAATGCGAATGAGGATATCGGACATGTAGCCTTCAGCCCATCATGCGGGGAAAATGCCACAGAAGTAAAGCCCTGAGTGCGCCGAGCACTTGAGGAGAATGTTCAACTAGGAAGAAGAGCAGTTGGCTCAGTGGACTGTCACTCGATAGATCGTATCGTCGTTGTTATCACAGATAGCTGCTTGTATAACATACCTCCACATACACTAGTCTTATATATCCGAGTTGGCTTTGGTATCGTTCATGTACCTCTAAGTCTGGATGGAAGATGCGATGGAGAGAAAGTTTCCCTGTAAACCTATCAAGCGAGGTCTGGTTTCTGTGAGATATTGATTTGGATCATGAAAAGTGTCTTCGGGATACCCCAAGCGCCACTAAGACAGATATGATTCGGGGATTAGGTGACGGCCAGGCGAGACAACCAGTCGTTGTAGTACAGTACCGCGATCTTTGTGAATATAACATATCCTTCGGATCTTATTTAGAACCAAAGTTGCGTCCCAGCTATTTCAGTTGTCCATCTGACAGAAAGTGGTGCTGAACTGAAAGGCGAGTACCATGTCGCCTTAGCGATAAACAATACTTTTTATGATTGCATATCCCTTTATAAAGTCATACTAGCTGGAGAAATTATCCTGACGAGTAGCGGGACGATTGACCAGTGTGGGGCCAGTACTAGTGATTTGAAAGCAAATAGACACTTTGAGGATATTTATAAGAAAGAAAGTACTGAAGTAAGGCAAACAGTCTGGAGGAAAGTCTCCAAGAAACAGCACTATACGTTTGTGGGTGACAAATCCTTGATAAAGGGAAGGAGGGACCTATTTGGATCCACAACCAACTGTGCCACGTGATCACAGCCGCAGGCACAGACACCGATCTTCGACCGCCAGATCCTTGCACCAGTACCACCACCACTGGTACAAACACCAACACCAAGGCTACCACCATCTTTTTGTTCTCTGCTTATCTGGAGTTCATGTCTCTGCCTTCTATTGCTGGATTCTCGACGTAGGTAATCACCGAGGAGCAACACGGGGGTAGCACTGAATCTGAATGAAGACCGAGGACAGGTACTAATCCAGCGTACCTCCTTTTCCCCATCTCGGTAGGACGAATGCATGATACTATTGGAAGGACATTGCCGAAGGTACCACCATTGCTACACTTTGACCTTTGCTGAATGTCATGGCACAGTGGATCATTCAGCCTTGTAATTGCACGTACATGTCGGGCTTGGAGAACGGGTGCGTAACAATTTTTATCTCACTGATGACTAATATCTCATTAGGGCCACATGTGACAGTCTTTACTTTTCACTGCCACCAGTCAGAGGAGATGAAGGGTGTTGGAAAGGATGCCTGATCAGCCAATGGAGACATCTTCCGTTCTGGTCTTGGTGTGCATTTCACCAATGACTTTTCCGATGTGATTCGATATGGTCGTCCAGTCGCCGCCAAGTGCTACGTCTGTGCCAGTGTCAAGGCATCTATCTCAAGAAGATTTTACCTAGGAAATTCCATCCTGTGTATCTGCATGCTGTCAGCAAGTGGACAAGGTACATATACATACCACACTGATTCATCTTGAAGTTGATGGATCAGCGTTGCAGACACTGCTGAATCAAGAAAAGGGTCTCACCAAAAGAAATGACGCCGCACTACTCGCACCGAACCATGAGTCCAACATCAAAGTTCTCAATAAAACCATTGGTCCCACCACCAAAGTGTACCGTCGGATCCCGTTCCACCCGTTTGGCGAATTTACTGCCCCTTTCCTAATCGTCTTCGACTTTCTCATGTACAGCACACCCTCTCCATGTCAAACCAAACAACACCTATTCGATAACCTTAGGCTTGCACCATTACACTGCCACCTCATCCTCACATGATTGCCGCCTACCTCACCGTGCGTCACCTTACTCGGGAGGTCAGCTTTCAACTGTCGCTGGCGCTGGTGAAAGCAAGTCATTCGTTTCCATCCTCGTAGCCTTCGGCGATGCTGCTTGATAATCCCTTGATCTGAAATTTGCCATCGCTAAAATGATGGGCAAGATGGTGCAGGATCCCTGGATGCACTATCCCCATCATCCGAGACCACTTCACCGGTGCTGTCAAAAACGATGGCCCTCCTCCAGTTCATGATCGACATTTTGCTATCCCTTCTCTGCCGTCGTTTTCACGGAGAAATAGATCAACATGAACGGCGTGGTGGCGGTGTAAGTTTTGAGGACGAACTTGGCTGGTTCCCTGGAATCGAGGCTGCAAAGTAAGGGCAAGCTGTGGGCGAAGTCGAGAGAGACCTGGGGAAAAAGAACAAGCACCCGAGTACTTTGAAGGAAGTCTACAATATGCAGTGTCAAAGTGTTTGGAGGACCATAATATAGGAGAACAGGTACGTCACTTCATATTCGTGGGAATAAATCTAATAACCAAAACAGGCAAAACGGCAGAGTGCCAGAGTGTCCTTCTCACCAGGCCATCTCCTTCTCCATATCAACCTCTGTCAGTTCCATGGAATGGGAGTCCTGGGTTTTGAGGGTGTTGCGAGAAGAGTCAACTTCATCAAGATCTGTTCTGTAGCGGACGCCGCTCTAACAGCGATACTTTGACATTGCCCCTTCCCATCCAGGAAGGGGTCTATACCTCACAACATGCCTTTACGCATAAATCAAGGCCTTTCTGTTGTTTACTCCAGTTCACCTCTTGTTACGGCAATGGTTGCGTCTCCCACAGGAGGGTCCTAGCATAACACGACGACCAATATCGCTGCCCTAATCTCTCTTCCCGCACGACCTCTAATCACGCCCTTCTCGACGTGATTCGGCATGAACGCGGATATGCTACACAGTGTTATGTCTACAAAAATAACCATCCATTCGTGCTATCTCACAGAACAAGACTCGTTTTGCAAATTCCGTCTAGGCTGGTCTTGGTGAAGCATAGGCACCCCATAATAATGACCTGGTGGACGAGGTACATGCACACTTCGTAACAGATGCATTTCGTGGCTGATCAATCAATGTTGCAGATACTGCTATCCAGAAAGATAGGCGCTGCTCTCACCAGTGTGAAGTGAGATGTCTTCTCTCCATCTCCAAGATGACTCTATCGGCACCACCATTGCAGCCTATCTTGACAACACTCACTTCTCCATGCCCATGCATTGGAAAGATGAACCTGCAACGCACCTTGTCTGATGCAGCAATCAAAGTCTTTGCCACCCTCCAGTCATCCTCCTGCACGACCAACATGAACGACAGCTTTATGATGAAAAAGCTATCTGAAGCGGAGGTTTACAG